ATGTACGTCAAGGGCGACTTTAAGGGCATCGTCTTCGCCGAGTTCTCTGACACCGCAGTGCGGGACCAGGCGGTGGCACTCCTTCGTGGTGCGGCCCTCGCCAGCGGAGGCAAAAAGGTCTGGGCAACGGAAGACCGAGCTGCCAGCGAACGTGCTGCGAGGAACTTCTGCCTGGGCTTGAAGCGGGTTCTGAAGGAGGAGTGGCAGGTCCCGTATACCATCTCGTTTAACAACGCGGCGCCGTACGTGCTCAAGGTGGGGGGCGAGCACGCGCTTACCGTGAACGTCTCCGGCAGCACCGTGGACTACGAGTGGCATGGGGACTGGGCAACTTGGTCCGAGCTCCACAACCACTCCTCGATCAAGGACCTCAGGAAGAAGTCGGACGACCTGCTCTCGCGGGCCACGCAGGGGCTCAAAGGAGGCGCGAAGGGCTGCTCCAAGGGGCAACGGCCCCAGTAGGAAACACGGCACATGAGCGATGTTTCACCCGAATTCGCAGTCGGCCCTACTGCGGCTACTAACCATGATCGAATTCACTCTTCCGATTCTTGCCAGGCATGTTTACCAGCAGTCGGCACTACTGCAATCATCCCCCCTCCTTTCTCCCGGGCTTCCGAAGCACTGCACTTCCGAGGCGGCGCCCTGCGGCCGTGCACCCGGAAGCTCCGGACAGCATCTTGGAACGTTGAGGGCCTCACCGAGGCCAAGCAAGCAGAACTTGAATGGCACATGACATCCATGAACATCGACGTCATGTGCATCCAGGAGACACACAAGACCGGGGCAGAGTTCTCCGTCTCTGATGCCGGATTTCTCCTCGTTCTCTCCGGCGCATCGGACCCAGACGATAATGAGACGGCGGGGGTCGGTTTCATCGTCGCGCCGCGCATCCGAACGTCCGTCGTGGGGTTCAGGCAACAGGACTCCCGGATGGCGTCCCTGAAGCTGCGAGTCAAAGGCGGCAAGATCATGATCTACACCACGTACGCTCCCCATAGCGGCAAGAGTTTCCAAGACAGACGGCAGTTTTACTCTAACCTAAGTTCCTTCATCGACAGCGGCTCCCGGCACGGCCCTGCCTTGGTCTTGGGGGACTTCAACGCTCGGCTTCATCGCCGGTATCCGGGCGAAGAGCACATTATCGGGCCCTACATATTCGGAGTCCCGGGCGCGATCTACAACCCCTCGTCCAATCGGAGCCTCCTCGCCGAGCTATGCGTCAACCAGAAGCTGTTTATTGGGAACACTATTTTCCACAAGCCGCCGGAGAAGCAGATCACGTGCTACAACGTGGGCAAGCGGCCGTGCGACCACCTTTCCCCAGACAATTTTGGACAGATCGACTTCGCCCTAATATCACAGGGTTGGACCCAGCACCTCACGGACGTGCACAGTGACCGTGGCCGGGCGCTGGCCTCGCACCATTTCTTGGTTTGTGCCGACCTCGACATAGAAGTGCCGCTCGACAAGAAAACTCGCACTCCGCAGCCAGATTTTCGAGCCCTCCGGAGCCCGATACGGGCGGCTGCTTTCGCAGAGGCCTTCGGAGAGGCGGCGGGGAGGGCGACCGCGGGCCTGACGGCGAACGAAATAGAGGCGACTATGCGGCCAGCTTTCCGCTCTGCGGCTGCCGCAACTATTCCGGAGAACACGGCCTCGCCGAAGAGGCCTTGGATCTCGCCCCACTCCCTCTCGCTGATCGAGCAGAGAACCGACGCCCGCCGCTCTGGGCGGACAGACGAGGAGCATCGTCTGCATGTGGAGGTGAAGCGGTCGGTGAAGAACGACAGGTCGATCTGGCTCAACAACTTGCTTGAGACGGGCGACTGGGACCAGGTCCGCAAACTCAGAAGAGGCTTCGCTCCTGCGCGGCATGGGCGCCTACGCGGGATGGACGGCGAAGTGGTGCAATCAGATAGGAGAGCCGACGCGTTGGCCGACTACCTGTGCGATGTTCAATGGGCCCTACGTGCTACGACGCCGATGGCACCTGCCCCGATTGGCCCGGAGCTGGAAGTCCAGACCGGTGACATCACAGAGGAGGAGATCATCGATGCAGCGCGACGCATGCGATGGGGCAAGGCTTGTGGCCATGACGGCGTCCCCGGGGAACTGTGGAAGGCTATTTGCATGCACGCGGGGCCGGGGAGGGAATGGGCGCTAGCCCTGTGTCAGAAGTGCTGGAGAGACGGCTGCGTCCCGGACGCCTGGCACGAAGCCCTCGTAACTGCAATCTTCAAAAAGGGGGACGTGTCTCAATGTTCAAACTACCGGCCTATCTGTCTGTTGCAAGCCGGATATAAGATGTACGCCATGATCATCATGCGCCGGTTGAAGGACGCCGGCGCGGAGGCCAGGATCTGGCAGACTCAGTTCGGCTTCAAGTCTGGGCACGGGACGGCAGATGCCATATTCTTAGCGCGGCGCCTCTTGGAGGAATCCTGCGCGTTGCAGGGGTCCCCGCTGGTGCTGCTCGCGCTGGACTGGGCCAAGGCGTTCGACAGCGTGATGCCAGATGCTCTCCTCGAAGCGCTGCGCCGGTTTGGCCTGCCGCGGGAGGTGCTGGCCGCCGTGAGCGCCATCTATTCTGCCAGGAGCTTCGCGGTGAAAGAGTGCGGGCAGATTTCGGCGTCGCGAGAACAAGGAGCGGGCATTTGCCAGGGATGCCCGTTATCGCCTTTCCTCTTCGGGATGGTCATGACGGTGCTCCTGCACGACGCAAAGAACAGCCTCGGTGACCTGGCAGGACTGGTGGACGAGTTGGTGTACGCGGACGACACGCTCATCGTCGCGAGCGCATCCGGACACGCTGAGCAGTACATGAAGGCAGTGGAGAAGGCGGGCGCGAACTACGGCCTCACCTTCAATTGGGGGAAGCTCGAAATCTTGGCCGTGGGATGCAACGCTGTTATTCGCAGGCCGGACGGGGCTGTCATTCCCCAGAAGGCAAGCGTCGTGTACCTCGGGTCCGTGCTTTCCGCAGACGGGACGATGCAGGCTGAGCTGGGCCGCCGCCTTGGGCAAGCGCGGGCAGAGTTCGAACTTTTACACCGTGTCTGGAACCGCAGCAGCATCCCGATGCATAGAAAGATACAGATATACGAGGCGTGCGTGCAGACGAAATTACTGTACAGCTTGCACACGGCATGGTTGAAGCAGGACGAGCTGACCCGCATCGACGCCTTCCAAGCAAGGTGCCTGCGGAGAATCCTCGGGATCCCGCATTCGTACGTCAGCCGAGTGTCTAATGCGGACGTGCTGGCACGAGCGCGCAGGATGAAGCTTAGCAGTACTCTCTTGCAGCGGCAACTCACATACTTGTTCCATATTGCTTGTAAGGGTGATGACAACCCCTTGCGTTCAGCTATTTTTAGACCTTCCTCCCTCGACCTCCGCCCCCCCTCCGGCAAGCGGAAGAGAGGCCGACCGCGACAGACGTGGCCTGCCGAGGTGCACAAACTTGCAAGAGATGTTTGTGGCAGTCTTCAAGTTCCAATCGAACATTTATGCGCAATCCCAGCTCGAGACTGGAAGCGCGCAGTGCGGTCATTTTGCTTGGCACGGTAAGTGTGCCATATTGCTCATGTGCCTTCTGACACACGGCTTTGACTGACTGACTACTGCCGCATCGCGCTCTGCGATCGGGGGACCCCGTTGGGCCCGCACCAAGAGGAAGAGGAGGAAGAGGAGGAGGACGAGGAGGAAGAGGAGAAGGAGGAGGAGGAGGAGGAGGAGGAGGAGGAGGGGGAGGAGGAGGAGGAGGAGGAGGGGGAGGAGGAGGAGGAGGAGGAGGAGGAGGAGGGGGAGGAGGAGGAGGAGGAGGGGGAGGTAGGTCACTCCTGCGTGTCGTCGGCTCCTGAAGGCTCCAGGACCCGTGCTGCCGGCCAGCCCAGCGCCGCGGCCTCCTCGGCGCGCGCTCCGCAACGCTCTGCGTACGAGAACGGCGTCCGTGCACGGTACCATTGCTGGAGTCTTGTTCTTCCCATCGTACTTAGGTTGGACGCCCGACTTATCCGGGATAACTCGGGTCCGGGGTAACTCGGGTTTGGGTTCCCGAGAAAGGAACCCGAGTTAGCCCTGACCCGAGTTACCCCTGATGATTCGGGGCCCTGGACGCCCGAGTTATCCGGGGTAACTCGGGTCCGGGATAACTCGGGTTCGGAATCCCGAGAAACGAACCCGAGTTATCCCTGACCCGAGTTACCCCTGATGATTCGGGGCTCTGATTAGGGGCCACATCCCAAACATTAATTTCGAGCACCCAGACAAATATCGAAACAACGCCGAACGAGCATCGACTCCCGGGGCCCGACGCGTGAACACTCTTCCGTTTCGGTGCTCTCCTGGCGTTCGACGTTCTTCCTGGCGATCAAGGCTGAAGTGGGTTGGAACATCACACATTTGGACTCCCTTCAGACCCCGCCCCAACGCGTACGGTGCATACAGTCGAACATATGATTCAGAACATTACAGATTAAGAAAGCTGGGCCGGCTTCTCAGAAGTTTCGGACGGACACGCTGGGCCATCTTTTGGAGCCAGGAGCGTACGAGATCCAGTTCTGGGATCCAGGGCGACAACAAATCCCCTTAAGAAGCTGAGCCAGCTCTCCGGCAGGTTGGTTAAGAAACGCTGGGCCAGCTTCTCGGGGGGAGGAGACTTGATCATAAGCGGGGCCCGTCTGCTCGAGGGTCGCCGCGTGTCTGTGGGGGGGGGGGGGGCGGGAAGGCGTTGGGAGCCAACTGCGGGGAGGTCTTCGTGGGAAGGGCTGGGGAGGATTGAGCCCCATCGGGGGGCTGCTAGGCCGGATGAGGCCGCGGAATAAGCGGGGCTAGGCTGGACTGAGCGGGATGAAGCCGGATTGAGCGGGATCGAGCCAGATCCAACCGGACTTCGGACCAGGGCAGAGGCAGAGTTTGACCTCCCAGCATTTGACCTCCCACGGATGTCTGGGGGAGAGAAGGGCGGAAGCCAGCAGGACGAGGAGGCGGCGCAGGGCCTCTTGAGGCCGTTCCGCTCAGACTCGGTCTGCGAGTCCTCGAACCCGGTGACGACCTGCGCCCCCCTCTCTGGCGCCGGGGGGCCAGAGGGGGAAGGGGGGGGGGGCAGGAGAAGAGTTGGAGGGAGAATTTGGGTGAGCCTTGATGGGAGCCTCGGTGGACCTCCGCGGCCCTGTCGTAAACCGCAGGTTTCGACCACCTTGCTTCACCCTTTCGTCCGAATTTCGGCCAGGGTTCGCCCAGATGCAAAACAAATCCGGCGAAACTCGCACAAGCACAAGGAATGTTGGGACCCCCTGAGGCTCCCATGCAGGACCACACAGTCAGAATGGGAAAGGCAGGGATACGTAGCGAACGGCAATGGGGAAGAAGGAGGAGGGGGAGGCGGCTTGGTGGCTGCAGGTGGATGAGTGGTGGTGGTGGTGGGGGCGACCTTCTCCCAGAGAGAAGAGGGCGACGAGGGGGACGCGGGCTGGTGGCGACGATGAAGACATGGCCAAGTTCACAACCCAACGTGACGACTGCGGCGGCCACTCTTGGGGGGTGCCAGCGCTTACATCCACAGAGCGTCCCCCCGGCGTGCGTCGGCGAGGCCACCGACGCTTTGCTTCTGTGAGTGGCAACTGGTCATCGACCAGGAAGATGGGAGCACACGAGGCTGGCACCAAACGTGGAACATCCCGAGGCCGCGCGCTGGACACACGCGGAAGCCCGGCGTGCCTAGTTATAGAAATGCCGAGTGCTGGAGAGGCACCTGTCCACATGAACAGCCGGCTGTCCTCCAGGCTGGCCGCGACACGTGTAACCCCATGCTGATGAGCAGAATCCCCTGGGGATCATGCAGTTCGGGGTCCAGGCGGGAAAATTGAACCAAATTCACTCCTGAAGGTTAGAGACACGGCCGAGGCATTGAATAAAAAACCACCGGATAAGAAATCCAGGGTCTGACAGCCGGTGGAACGCCAATTGAGGCTTTGCCATGGTTATCACTGCCGCTGTCATCGGACAAGGAATTCTCCAGGGCCTGGGCACCATACTTAACGAACGCCTCCACCGCACAAAGGTGAAAAGAGGGGGATGCTTTCTTACCCGACGCTTGGGCTGTACGTAACTGGCTTCCTGGCAGAGTCGCGCTTCGAGCTGCTCGACTCCTCCTCCTCCTCCTCCTCCTCCTCCTCCTCCTCCTCCTCCTCCTCCTCCTCCTCCTCCTCCTCCTCCCCTCCTCCTGCTCGCCTGCGCGCGCCCCGCGCGGAGCGCACCTGGACGAAGGGCCGCTCCCAGCGCTCCGCACCGCGGGGCGAAGAGCGCGCTCGCCCGCGACCGCGCGCGCGTGCGGGTTTGCCTCGGGCTTCCGCGGGCCATCTGCTGGACTCCGCCGGGAGCGAGACCTCTGGAAAGGGGGCCCAAGGACACACAAGCAAATACACACAAGTCCCAGGAGTCCTCCTATGTTGCCAAATCTTTCCTGGAGGTCTCGTCGTCCCCCCCCACTTCCCATATCTTCCCATAATTTGCAGGGAAATCGACGACGATTTGTCTCTCTCTCTCTCTCTCTCTCTCTCTGTGTTTTTGTTCCCCTCATGAACCTCAGCCCTCCTCCCCTGGACCCCACAGGGCGCATCAAAAAGACCTCCGAGAGACATCCGGAGGCCTCCAGAGGACACATCAGGAGACCTCCAGAGACCTCCACTCCTCGACTTCGACCCGTCGCTGTCGAGGCTCTGGAGGCCTCTAGAGACGCAGGCAGGCCAGCAACAACAAAAAAACGAGCACCTCGATCCTAA